TCTCGCAGGTGCCTTCTTTGGGCGCGGGAACCGGGGGAGGGGTGGCTCTGTCTGAGGGGCCGATGCCTCGCCCGACTTCGGTTTTGGAGATGTTGCGCCGGCCACCTGCTGCTTCTTGCCAGGCCAGCGGTAGCAGCGACCAGGCTGCCGACAGCTCTCTTGTGGGTGGTGTTTCGTTCTGCGCCGCAAGTCGGGACGATGAGATTGCGAGCCAGGAGTTGGACCATGTTGAGCCGCCGCCTCCTGTGCCGGCGCGGAGGAGGGCCAAGCGCACTTCGTGGAAATGCAAGTTTTGCGACTTTGAGACTAAGGTGGGATTGGCTTCTGCTGCTATTGATCATGCTCGTCTTAAGCATTTGCACAAATGGCACATGGACAGGAAGGCCCATTGGACTAGCTTTTGCAGATGGCGCTTCAAGGCCACCCCCGATGCTAGGGACAATTGTGCGGGGCAGCAGGAGGTGTTGTGGCAATGCAAACACTGCACGGCGGGTGTTGTTGGCATTAAGCTCAAGGATCGGAAGCAGGCTGGGGCGGTCTATCTGGCGGCTGTCAAGCACTGTCGCGACTGCCACCCTCAGGAGATCAAGGCCTGGCGTAGGGATCGTAGGCATGCCAACTTCAAGAAGGCCACGGCGGTGCGCAGGGCGGCTGGTGTTGCTGGCCACCTTATGCGCCGAAAGGCCCTCAAGTACGGAGAGCACGACGTGATTATGTTTCGCATACCGTGGCTTCGGGCTTCCTCTGGTGGCAAGCAGCGAAAGTCCATTGCCTCGTACGTCTGCCGGCGGTGCGCAGCGCAGGCTACCACCCCTGCCAATATGATGCAGCATCACTGTGATCCTGGCCGCATGCCGGTAGGGAGAGGACGCACTCAGTTCGTGAGCCGGCTCACCCAGGCTCTTGAGCAGGACCATTCCGAGGAGCTTAAGCAGGGCATTCGTGGTGTGCTTCAGGTGTTTGATGAGGTGGCTGTGCGGCTCAAGGAAGCCCGCATCGCTACTGCTAAGGCTGAGGGCGTGACTGAGCATCATATCCAGGCAATCGCGTGGCCGAAGCTGACTGCTGATTCCACTTCCTTTGCGGTGCGCTTTGTGTGCCAGCGGTGCCACTACCACGCCTCGCTTAGGCGTCACTTTAAGGGCATTGCGTGCAGTGCCGTTGGCAAGCGCCGGCAAACGGCTGAAAAGGAGAGGCTCATGGAGATTGTGAACATGGAGGATCCTGCAGGGTCGGCTGCGCGATTGGCTCTGCGCTACCTCGGCCACGAGCTGCCGGTGAAGGGTGGGAGTGGTGCTTCGCCATGACGGCGGAGCACTTTGTGAGGGTGGGCACTCTTAATGTTTCTACGCTGCCGGGGCGTGCTGCTGATGTCTTTGACCTTGGCCATGCCCATCAGCTTGACATTCTGTTGATTCAGGAGTCGCGCCTCCCGCGTGACAGCTTTGGGTCGATGTCGGCCATGGCTAAGCGTCGCGGCTGGCATCTTTGCATTCATGACCAAGCGCCGGTTAAAGGTGGTGGCTTTAAGTGGGGTGTGGTTACTTTGTCAAGGTGGCCTGTGGAGGCGGTGCAGCCTCCTAGTTGCATTCCTCAGGGTCGGGGCGGAGTTCTTCGAGTGTGGCGTCCTGGCCAGAGGCCGCTGCTCCTGGTGAACATTTACCTCCCGGCTTCTTCCAGGACCGAGGCGGGCGACATTCTCACCGAGGTGTTTCAGTACGTGGCGGGCACTGGTGAAGATGCTATCATTGCTGGTGATTTCAACCTGACTGAAGACATGTGGCCAATTTCTTCTGCGTTGATCTCTGGGCGATGGCGTTCCGCTAATGAGATGCTTTTGGGGGATTGCACAAAGCCTCCCACGCATAGGCAGGCTGATGGCTCTTACAGTCGTTGCATTGACTTCGCTTTGGGCACCCCTCATGTTGTCTTCGCTCATCGGCAGCAGCATCGGGGCCTGGCGGATCATGACCTTGTTGCTTATGATGTTCTTCTTGATCATGGACGAGAGACAGTGGTGCGTTTTCCTCTTCGTCCTCAGCTTCGTCTGGAACCTGTGGCCCAGGACCACTGGAGTGAGGTGTGGGGTGAGTCTCGCAGGACATTTGTTCAGTTGTGCGATGCTGGTGATGTGGAGGAGGCTTGGCAACTTCTTAGTCGTGCGGCTGAGTGCGCCATGGGCGCTCGGGGCGGCCATGCGCCTCGCAGTGAGCCGGCAGTCCCCACTGCGGTGGCCCCGACTTCGTGCAAGGCTCCTTCTTGCCAGGGCTTGCGTGAGAGGCAGCTGCGGCGGTTGGCGCGTCGTGCTCGTGAGCTTCTCCTCGAGCATGGTAACATTGGTGAGTGCTGCAACTTGTACAACAAGATTGTTCGTTCGGCTCGGTCGCTCAATATCGGGTTTGATGGTGTAGAAGACATCATGCATGAAGCGATGCGCCAGGCTTCATGCGAGGCGGAGCGCAACTCGCGTGACAGGATTCAGCAGTGGAGTCAGCAGATGCAGTGGGACGTGGGCAAAGCTGCCAAGTGGGTCACGCGTGCTTCGCCGGCCGTCCCTGTGCCGGCGCAAGGGGAAGCTTGGCTCCGGCC